ATTGCATATCCGTCTCTATTAAATAAACAGCCTGGTCTGTGTCGTAAGAACATCCTTTCGAAAATAACTCTAGGCGTGTTCCCTATTTCCCGCCACTGATCTCCATAGCAACTCCTCGCTGACAATTAAAACTACACAGTATGTGGCTTAAAATTACTTACCGTGTACGTTGTGGCCGGCAGGTGGCACAGGTGGCTGCGGGTGGTGATGGTAGCGTGACAGCCAAGGAGAGAGAGGTTTGAGACCCCAGCGGGTACCATAACAACATTCAAACTTTCCCTCGTGGTGTGGTGAGTGAGGGTGTGTGTGTGGTGCTTCACTCTCCTTAACACAAACACTCGTCACCTTCACTCCGTTCTCTGTACAGGCATTAATGTGAGGTATAACTGGCTAATCTTAACAGTTATATAGGGATTTATTTGCCATATATCAATATTAATCGAATAGTCGTGTGAGCCAATGAGCTGCAAGGGGGACGGGGCTTCTTACTTATTCCCGTCGGGTAAAAAAAACGACTACAGTATATGATAGGATTTCAATGCATGTAGACGAACATTTTGAATATCCTACGGGAAACATAATCCTTCCGTACCTACATTCCATCCCCAAATTGACTAGGCACCAACTACCGGCATTACGTAACTATCAACTGCTTAATTTTAACTACCGTACATAACACTTGATATTCTAATGTGACTGACATATGAACCCTACACGAACGCCTAAATACATCTCCACTACCATATATCGGCTTGCCATCACCGGCTACTGGCACACATAATTCAAACTCATAAGTCACATCTCAGTGTTAATTTTTGTATAATGGTAAAAGAAAAAATCAGAGTATAATCCCATTTTTCATCGTATTGTGATTTCTTCTTCACTAGACACTTCCTTAATTCTACCTGGGCATCTCCTCGAAGTCTTTGGTAGATTGGGTAAATAATACACGAATAAAATTTGCAGTCTACCCGAAACGTCATAGGTCGTGGGACAGCTGGGTGATGAGTAGTGAACATGTCAACTGTCAACATTCATTTAAACTTATCACGAGTAATTTACGATCCATAACACTCATGATAACGTTCCATAACTCAAGTAAAATATAAAGACTAACTACTGAACAGATTCGATCAATAATAAAATATAAAGACTAACGACTGAACAGATTCGATCAATAATAAACCAAACAGACGTAAATTATAAAAGATTAATCATAATAATTCCTTAATTTTTTTGCAAGAGTTAATATTAGACTGCAGAAACCTGACTCTGATTTAATGCGACTGACTGGTGCGTTAGGTCAATACTGTAACACGCCATCAATATATATCACTCTTATCAAACGTTACTTAATAGCTTTCACATTCTCAAATATTCTTAATATAAATATTCCTTGTAACTGTAGACATAAGCACCCACTAGATTTTGTTGATAAGATAAAACGCCACATAAAAATAGCATGCAAGACAATAATGGATTCAAAAGTGACTCCCTAAATACACGCGTTCTCTCAAAACCAGTTAGGAGCCAAGATCAACATGCAGTTATTATTATCAGATGCTCAGTGAATACATCTAGTAAGTATGGGCTATGAATTATGCTAATGCTACTGTACTTGAAGGCATTAGCTTATACGTCAATTACATGGGTACAATCTTACATCTATATTGACAAGGTATATTCATCGTCTGAACATTTGAGAATTTAGGCACAAATATACTTAACTAAAGCCTTTACGAGTATTCAAGTATAAACAGTTGTCATCAATAGTAAAAAAATAAATAAAACATATCTCATGAATATCTCTTTACTATTTTTGTCTATAATATACGTAACGTAAGGTAGGGTAATTTTATGATTCACTTCAATATCTCAACAACACATGGTAAAAAAAAAAGGGCCAGAGGTGTACAACATACCTGAACGTATTGGACAACAAGCACGTCTTCTTCCCCCTTGTTACCCTCATGTATCATCTTGTTTTTCTTCCTGGCTAAAACTTGCTCGACTCATCCATAATTTTTTGGGGTTGTGTGGGAAAGTTACTTCACACACGCTGCTAAATTTTCTCCCGTTTACCAAGGATTTTAAATACTTTTTGATTCCTTAAAATCATAATTACTTCTCTCAAAGACCTCATTTAAGTTTCTAAATCACCATCTTGCATCAGCCTAACATGACAACTATCTACGTTGTCACACACAAGAAATATGCGCTTGTCAACTCCCCCCAATCCTACCTGGCTAGCTTCATCCTAGTCTTACGGGCTGACTACTACAGAGGCGCACCCAGAAATTTAAGAAGACCACAGACCAGCCTCCTACACACCCGAGGCACTAGTCCATCATACACCGAGCTCCGGGCTTAATGTAAAACAGGAAGCTGACTGAACACACTAAAGAGAGAGAGAGAGAGGTGGACGGTCTCCTCGTACTTCCCGCCCCAGCTTTCTTCATTGATTCAAAATATGACGAATTCCAGGCGGCATATTGTTTTTTTTAATTATTTTCTTCTACCCATCTGACACGAGCATACGTAGTCATTCAGAACCACTAAATTATTTATCTAAACCATACAATAAATATAAGGCTCGCTATCTTTTACACATACATTCTTTTACCAAAATCCCTCACAGTTCAATACGCAAACCTCACGAACGTAAAATTTCACTTCACACTATCCACCGAATTATATGATTTTCTTCAATCATTTACATCATTTACAGAGACAACAGAAACACCGTAAATTATCGTGTTCATCAGTCTTCAATACAAGCCAAAGATTATTTACTCCAGCTCTCTCTAAACTCCATACACACCTCCCAAGATATTAATCAAATTTCACATCCTCTTCCTCGAGTAATTTCACTTGCAAAAAACCCCGGTAATTAATTTCACTCTCATCCTCCCTACCAGTTCCTAGTTCCCATGTCAGACCAACTTACTTCAAACCAATATTCAGATAAGCACCGCGGTAATTTTTTAGTCGTTTTGCGGCTGAATCTTTTACTGCCACGTTTGTTATAATGAACACAATGCAAATCTTAAAGAGAGTGAGCGAAGATGAAAAAAAAAAAGCGCGTGTGAAACCACTTATTAGGCAAACCACAAGAACCAACCAATCATAACCAAAAATGCTCGAGGATAGTTAGTTCTTGTGGTCTACTTTAGGAGTGACTTTGACAACTCGTTTTCTACCCCTCATCACCCCCACCACCAACCACACCCCACCACCAATCACCACACCCAGCTCTATAATTCTTTGTATTAAACCAAATTCCTCAGCGAATAAATCCTTTAAAAAAAATAATAACACGAAAATTAAACCCCTGAGGTAGGCTGAATATCTAAACTGTATAATCTCTATAATTTTCCTCGATAATTTACCTTCATACACAACAATAATAATCCCCGTCTTTGTCTACTTCTCAAATGCTGGTCGCTGGCAATGTAACCCCTGATCATTCACCCGTCATTCACCTCCCCCCTCCTTGTCACACGCAACCACAACTCACGGTACTATATATTTTGATTTTCAAGATTCCTAACTGGTTTTATATGTTCTGTTTCGCGATTATTTTTTCCCCTCGTGTTAACTCATACATTTTGATATATTTACCCACAAAAGTATAAAAGTAGATTATCTATACATATACTGTACATATTACTTACACAATATGCCACATTCTATTTCGTTTAATCCACAACACACATTGTACTTCATTCTAACCCTCGTATCACCCTGCCTGCACACTATATACATCCTATCATCCTGGTCTAAATATTCTTATTCTTAAAAATCACTTTAAAATTCATTTGTTTTTACTTATTTCAATACTGTCACGTTTCCCTTAATGACACCGCGTTCAATAGCCGGACCAACAGTTGTACACGTCGTTAAAACTTGTGTGAATAAACTCAGACAAATTATTTTTAATACCCTTGTGCATCATATATTTAGTACTAAAGATAAAGGTATAGAAATCAAGCTCGCGGCCTTTATAGACTATCTCCAATAACCCCACTTCACTCCTAGGACGCGCCACTTTTAAAATCTGACTCCGCTAACGACAACCGATTGCATTCAGGGTGCAGACTTATTTTTTTTTTCTCAGACTTTTCACTAATATGTTTGATTTGATGAATGGAAATATAAATTCAGTGAAGAATCAAAGGATAATCAATTTGAATTTACTTAAGAAACATGAGTAAATGGTTGATTACTGCCAAAAGGTTTAAATGTTCAAAAATAAAACGATACTTTCTGTCTGCCATTTCGCTGCAGAGAAGAGACGAAGGCTAGAGACTGGGTAGGAAGGGGGGGGCGTAGTTTTTCTTCTTTCTTCACCGGATTCGATTCTTTGCACTTAAGCATTTCAGTCTAAACCGAAAAGCGTCTTTATTTACCTGTGACAGTGACATCATCTACCTGTGAGTGACATCTGACAGTGACACCATCTACCTGTGACAGTGACACCATCTATCTGTGAGTGACCCCATCTACCTGTAAGTGACATCACCTACCTGCGACAATGACACCATCTACAGTACCTGTAACAGTGACACCATCTACCTGTGACAGTGACATCACCTACCTGTGACAGTGACACCATCTACCTGAGTGACATCACCTACCTGTGACAGTGACACCATCTACCTGTGACAGTGATATCATCTACCTGTGACAGTGACACCATCTACCTGTGACAGTGACACCATCTACCTGTGACAGTGATATCATCTACCTGTGACAGTGATATCATCTACCTGTGACCACATCAACCACTGTAAAACATATTTCACTAACTACACGCGTGTTGACAGCGGTGATGGAGCGTTGCAGGAACATTATTAAGACCCGTTTCGAGTTTTCTATTAACATGGAACAACACATCCACCAAGGAATGGAATTTACAGCAAAACTCAACCTTTTAAATGTAAACAAATACTATCCCTCTGTTCCCAATGTAAACAAATTAAACAGGCGATTCTACTTACAAAATATCACACCATCAGTAACCCTGCAGCAGCCTCTTGACTAAACAGTAGCTGGTGAGATTAATAAGTACAAAATCTCCGGAGACGAAAACAGTTAATTCAATATAAGTAGTTGCCAGTGATACGACAGTCCAGGAAGAGCGCACACAACACGTCTCACTAACACAGCCGCCAGAGCTACACTGAGTGACACATGCGGCTGGAACCTTCAACGCGCGCCACAAACCACCACAATAAACAGTTGATGATGAAGATGATGGTAAAAGGACGATAGGGATGACAATGGTAGTTGATAATGATGTTTACTGTAGAGTTTATATAATAATATCGAGTTTTTTTGAATTAACAGTTTTTTCTGCAAGCCCTAATGCTCTTCACTATGGCAGGTAATAATAGAATTCTCTCACGTCTCTAGGCCTCTCCTCCAACACTTTCCTACACCTATCCTCCCCTTCCCTCTCACTCTCACACCTGATGCGGCATTCCAAAATCTTCAACTGTAATCAAAATAATGTTGAAGTTTGTTTACAAATAGCGGATCACGTGAAGATTAAATACTCTCAGATAATTTGACCTATTGAGTTAACACCATAATGATGCCTCTGAGGGGGAGCGGAGTTAGATTAAGTTAGGTTACATTGAATTATGTTAGATTAAAGTAGGGGTATTTGATTATCAGGTCAAATAAGTTGGGGTCCCTAGTGTTCACGTGAGAGCAAATAATTAGCAACGTAATATGAGAAACTAACACTGAAGCATAGTCCACATCTGCCTCTACCCGCCCACCACTGTCTCTACCCGCCCACCACTGTCTCTACCCGCCTACCACTGCCTCTACCCGCCCACCACTGTCTCTACCAGCATACCACTGCCTCTACCCGCCCACCACTGTCTCTACCCGCCCACCACTGTCTCTACCAGCACCACTGCCTCTACCCGCCCACCACTGTCTCTACCAGCACACCACTGTCTCTACCAGCATACCACTGTCTCTACCCGCCCACCACTGCCTCTACCCACCCACCACTGTCTCTACCAGCACACCACAGTTTCTACCAGCATACCACTACCACCTGTCTCTACCCGCCCACCACTGTCTCCCACCCACACCCACACACTGTCTCTACCTGCCCACCACTGTCTCTACCCACCCACCACTGTCTCTGCCCACCACTGTCTCTACCAGTCACACCACTGTCTCTACCCGCCCACCACTGTCTCTACCATACCAGTCTCTACCCACCCACCACTGTCTCTACCCGCCCACCACTGTCTCTACCCACCCACCACTGTCTCTACCCGCCCACCACTGTCTCTACCCACCCACCACTGTCTCTACCCGCTCACACCACCAACACACGGCCTTCAGTTGTAATGGAAGTAAATCTGCTCTCAAAACTGATGCCGTATACGCTTCATCGTCCCATATCTGACACACACACACACACTGCTCACTATTGTCACCAGGAGTATAGGAAGCTGAAACCCTAAGAGCCTTCATGCCGTTAATGTTGCTGTTACGTTCTTCAGTTAAACCTCTATTTAGCGGACTATATGGAGAGGAATGTCCATTATATCGAGGGTCAGTTAAATATGAACCACACCTTATCTAATGAACTATAGAGATGAAATTCCTTTATATCGAGGGTCCGTTAGATGTAAAAACCCCATTTAGCGGATTATATATAGATAGAAATCCGTTATATGGAGGGTTCACTATTACTACGCATCAATAATATATTTGAACGAGTAATTAAGGTCAGTAATTACACTACTTCATTAATAATTGAAAAGATATGACTGTCTGTATCTTAGTGTAGTTATCACGCCCAAGAAGTTAACCCAATCTAACCTAACCTAACCTAGGGACATCACCACCAATCTCTTTTTAAGCCAGTCAACCAATCAGAGTACCGTCTTTATATCTGAGGGTTGGCGACCACAGTCCTCCACTCTACACGTTATGGTACAAACAATGATTCAGAGTTTTATTTTATACAAGTTTTATACAGCGTTACGTGGACACATAGAACTTGATCTAAAATTATGAAAAAGTTGTTAATCTGTGAGGTGAGTCTATGATGAACAGTGAGTCTATGATGAACAATGAGGCAGTTATTAAACCATTCTCTCCTCCGTGTTCTTCCTCTCCCGGTACAGCATTTTGAAATTGGCCAAAACACTGACATTTCCACTGAGAGTAGCATTTACAGACAAAGTTATCAAGAAATATACTGTTTACGTCTGGTGGTGAACACTGCCGACTGTGTACCAACTCTTACCTATAGCATGACTCGGCTCCACCAGCACAGTCCATCACACACTAACACGGCCAGGGGAAATATATGAAATAATGAGTCACGTTATTCCCAGGGACCACACACACACACACACACACACACACACACACACACACACACACATGGTCTACGAACTGCAAAGTCATGTAAACAATCAGGAGTCATGGAAGTCAAAGAAATACTGGGTAATACTTTGATACGACTTTTTTTTTTTAATGATTCCTCTTCCCACCTCCATGACTTGGGCCTCTTTCAACACAAGCGATGATTTTGTTTTTCCCACGCGACACAAAACGCTCCTAAAACAGGCCTTAGGGACCCCCAAAACAGCTGCGTGATGTGAAGTAAACAAATACTCTATAATTTTATATAAGGTCCACAACTACAAGTAATCTATGAACGCCAAGCATAGGATCACGCAAGCTGACATGAGTACGGAACACAATATCTGAGAAGGTTCCGTCGTGCAGCGCATAAGCTAAGTACTAGAGGAATCATCTCCGTCACGACACGACAGCCGGAGTGACCGAAGAACGCGTCTACGATTTGATACGGGAGCGGAGTTAACAACAGACACGCCAACATTATTCAGATCAATCGGTCGCTTGTACTATATGACTGAAGATGAGGCTGACAGCGCTCTTAACCACGGAACGATGAAACGAGCTTCTAAATAATAATAATAATAACAACAATAATAATAATAATATCAAGGTGGGCTAAGGCCATAATATAAATAACACCAGAAGTACATAACATGAACCATTCTCCTTGAACTGAAAAGAAAGACATTTTACAACACACAAGTTTGGTCGTCCCAATTTTTTTAACCCGGTAACAGAAAATTCAATTCCATGGTGTCAAGTGTTGCCAAAATGTAGTTAAGATTAATAGTACTTGGTTATAAAACTTGAATACGATGATTTGACTGAGGATGATGATTTGACTGTTTGACGACGATGATTTAGCTTTTTGAGGATGATGATTTGACTGTTTGACGACGATGATTTAGCTTTTTGAGGATGATGATTTGACTGTTTGACGACGATGATTTGACTGTTTGACGACGATGATTTGACTGTTTGACGACGATGATTTGACTGTTTGACGACGATGATTTGACTGTTTCAGGACGATGATTTGACTGAGGATGATGATTTGACTGTTTGACGACGATGATTTGACTGTTTGAGGACGATGATTTAGCTTTTTGAGGACGATGATTTAACTCTTTGAGGATAATTATTTAACCCCTTTAATGACTATAATTTCATCTATTAGTTCAAATAATAATCGTATTTATCTAGGTATTAATTCTTTGCTTTCTATTGTATTTGTGTCACTCAGCCCCTCCTTCAAACTCGAGTCACTCAGCCCCTCCTATCAAACTCGCGTCACTCAGCCCCTCCAAACTCGCGTCACTCAGCCCCTCCTATCAAACTTGTGTGTCACTCAGCCTCCTCCAAACTCGTGTCACTCAGCCCCTCCTACCAAACTAACGTCACTCAGCCCCTCCTACCAAACTAGCGTCACTCAGCCCCTCCTCCAAACTCGTGTCACTCAGCCCCTCCTACCAAACTGGCATCACTCAGCCCCTCCTCCAAACTCGCGTCTCTCAGCCCCTCCTCCAAACCGACTCCAAACGCTATATTGTAGAAAATTTGGGCGTTATCAAGAATATCTTACGATCTAGAATACAATGTTTGTGTAAAGGAACTACTATACCATCTTGCTACCAACTACAGGTCAAGAGTGGAGGAACCATGGAATGATTCAACAGGTGGTAGTATGAGCACACCTGAGCCATCGATTTTGTAGATAATAATAATAATAATTAGAAACTTGTTCATCAGTCATAGAGCAGGAAATCGTCCAAAAAATTACAAGATCCCTCGACAAGTAGCGACAGATTTGATGTGAATTGTCATGGCGTATGTAGAGTTGTGATGTAAAGGTGACATACGAAAGGTGACTGTACTGTTTTTGGTGCGTATTATGTGGGTTAGGTTAAGCTGGGTTGGGTTGGGTTGGGTTGATTTGGGTTGGGTTGGGTTGGGTTGGGTTGGGTTGGGTTGGGTTGGGTTGGGTTAGGTTAGGTTAGGTTTCCCATACATAACTGACACCTAGATTTCGTTCTTAGAAAACAAACTGCTTTTGGTATTATAATATTTAGTATATATTAGCCACTGTATCCCTGTATCGGTACAAAATACAGGTAGCTTCCCCCTCCCCTCCCCCAAGAGTCCTGTTTACCAGTTAGTTTGGTTGTTTGGCCGCTGTTTTAATTACCTTCTTCATTCTCAAGAGAAAGTTTATAATTAAGCTTCAATGGTGCAGAAGTGAAGCTTGATCTAACCTTAACTATTATTTATATTACTAATTAATGTGTGTAAGTATGTGTGTGTGTGTGTGTGTGTGTGTGTGTGTGTGTGTGTGTGTGTGTGTGTGTGTGCGTGCGTGTGTGTTTAATGAGTTATAACATATCATCAATTATTTTCTGTAAGGTGAAACGCATAGTCCATCGGAAAGGACACACACTCACACACACACACACACACACACACACAGAGTGGTCTTTCTTCAGTCTTCAATTAGATAGTTTTTGTGTGTGAATTCCTCCTTGGGGAAAATCTCAGGACCCGCCCATGACTCGTTAGCTGTCACCGCCCGCACCAGCATTAACATGAATATAGCAGTGATAGTGAAGAAGACGTGTCAACCAGGAACACCTCCCAGGCTACACCAGGAAGACGAGGATCACTAACAAGGAGTAATTTTGTGGTAGGAACTGGTGTATAGGTTTGACCCTGGTGGAGTGATAACCTCGGCCGGGCTGTAGTAACGCTTCCGCCAACAAAGACCCGTAAACCACGAACCAAAAACCACGAACCACCACCACGAACCATAAACCACGAACCACCACGAACCAAAAACCACGAACCACCACGAACCTTAAGCCAGGACCCGTCAATAGCGTCCGAGTACAATAACAACATGAGTGACGGTTTGTTGACATGAGGAGGCGAAAGGCGAGTGAGGTGACCTGCTGGGGACTCCTGCAAACAACACCAGTACATTATATCCACCTAAAATTAAAGTGTATTACCCAAGTTAACATGATACACATTACACACCCAGGATGGTAAGGGTACACATTACACCCAGCAGACAAGGAACACTGAGAAAATTACCAATCGTTTGTCCACAGTGAGTCAGTGTGTAGTGTCCCAGACCTTCCACCACAGGGTTTAAGGTGTGTGTGGACGGCCCTACCTGGTACACCACACAGAGGGGGGGGAGGGGGCTAGACCTTGGCGACACATGATGCTGCCCTCCACCACCACCATCACCATCACCATCACCAACAACCACCGCCACACACCACCACCACCACACACCTGACATCCATTAAATAATGTTGGTATTTCCAGAAGAAATTGCTCTACTCATTACACCCAACCCAACCCAACCTGACCTGACCCAACCTGACCTGACCCAACCTGACCTAACCAAACCTAACGAAACGCAACCTAACCTAACTGAGGGGCTTTTGTCCGGATCCCATATTCCGCTGATTGAAATAAGTTTTGCGTATGTAATCCGTGTCAGCATGAGAGCTTAATAAATCATTAAGGATGGTAGTGTGTGTGTGTGTGTGTGTGTGTGTGTGTGTGTGTGTGTATGTATGTATGTATATATGTATGTATGTGTTTGTGTATGAATGTATGTATGTATATGTGTGTGTATGTATGTGGATGTATGTGAGTATGTGCACTTGTGTATATGAGTGTAATAATAAATAATAATAATAATAATTAACGGTTTATTGAAAGAGCATGGCAGTCGGAAGGCTGAAAATATACAGTTACATAATTGGGGAATGGGTCTCTTGATTTACAAATAATATACAAGTAACATAAGTGATACAAATATGATATATAATAACTAGGTGGGGAGAAGCTCAAACTACAGGGCATTTCAACATAGTGACAGTGCAAAACGGTAAGATTGACTGGGAGTGAATACACTGGTTGATTACAAGTTATTGATAATTTTTACAATGGTTGGGACTGGGCTGTTCTTATAGCGATCAGTTCGTGCACGTATGGGCTGGATGCGGTTGTGGTGTCGAACAGCAATTCTCTGACGACGGGTCTCGGGTGGTAGTAGGAGCCGGTGTCGAGGATGGTGTAGAAGCTTCTCACCAAATTTGCAGATGAGGTCGTGGTGATAGTCAGTGAGAGTCGAAAGGGTCAGTGTGTTGCGCGCTTCTTGATATGTGGAGTAGGAAGGGGAGAGAATAATCTTGCATGCCCTCTTTTGCACTTTTTCTAGGTGTTTAAGTTGTGTGGCATTTAGGGAGGAAGACCAGGTAGGGGAGGCATAGGTGAGCTTGGGAAGTATGAATGTTGAGTAAACACTGAGGAGCTCGGGTGCAGGAACTCCGAGGGACTTGAGTCGGCGGAGGAGGTGGAGACGGAAACTGGAGGATTTGACAACTTCACTGACGTGTGGTTTCCAATTTGGTTTGTTGTCTATGGTGACGCTGAGGAGCTTAGTGTATGCGTATATGTAATGCAATAGTAATAATCCTTTCTAATTATCTTATAAAAGAATAACCTCAACAATTACATTAGTTTATCATCATCGCGTAATACGCACATCACCGCCTCGTGTAATGATCTATATTATATATATACAACAAAGAAGTATGTCTGTGTGTGTGTGTGTGTGTGTGTGTGTGTGTGTGTGTGTCCGCACGAGAATCTCGGAAACTACTTTACCGATCTGTAGTGATGATGGATGGTGTTATATATAGTGATGATGGATGGTGTTATATGTAGTGATGATGGGTGGTGTTATATATAGTGATGATGGATGGTGTTATATGTAGTGATGATGGATGGTATTATATGTAGTGATGATGGATGGTGTTATATGTAGTGATGATGGATGGTGTTATATGTAGTGATGATGGATGGTGTTATATGTAGTGATGATGGATGGTGTTATATGTAGCGATGATGTATGGTGTTATATATAGTGATGATGGATGGTGTTATATGTAGTGATAATGGATGGTATTATATGTAGTGATGATGGATGTTGTTATATGTAGTGATGATGGATTGTGTTATATGTAGTGATGATGGATGATGATATTATATGTAGTGATGATGGATGTTGTTATATGTAGTGATGATGATGGATGGTGTTATATGTAGTGATGATGGATGATGATATTATATGTAGTGATGATGGATGTTGTTATATGTAGTGATGATGATGGATGGTGTTATATGTAGTGATGATGGATGGTGTTATATGTGGTGATGATGGGAGGTGTTATATGTAGTGATGATGGATGGAGTTATATGTAGTGATGACGGATGATGTTATATGTTATATGTTATATAATACCATCCATCATCACTACAGATCGGTAAAGTATACGGTGCCTTTCGTTCCTATATTATTTTGCCACAAGATTAAAATATATCAAAGTATATTATTATCATCAAATATATTTCGCTCTTGAGGTACATGGGAGGAGGAAGAGGAAAGAAGTAAGGAAGGAATGAGTGGTGGGAGAAAGACGAAAGAAAAAGGAGTGAGAAGAAGTGAAGACTGTAGGACGACCTCCACCCACTCACGGGGAGGTCGTCCAGGTCTACCCTACGACGCCAGGAGCCTCCTCCTGGTCGTCAGAGACCTCCCTGCTTCACGTCAGCAGGGACCTCCTGTTGCACCTCGGCAGGGACTTCCTGTTGCACCTCGGCAGAGGCCTCCTGCTGCACCTCAGCAGGGACCTCCTGTTGCACCTCGGCAGGGACCTCCTGTTGCACCTCGGCAGAGGCCTCCTGCTGCACCTCAGCAGGGACCTCCTGTTGCACCTCGGCAGGGACCTCCTGTTGCACCTCGGCAGAGGCCTCCTGCTGCACCTCAGCAGGGACCTCCTGCTGCACCTCAGCAGGGACCTCCTGTTGCACCTCGGCAGGGACCTCCTGTTGCACCTCGGCAGAGGCCTCCTGCTGCACCTCGGCAGGGACCTCCTGTTGCACCTCGGCAGAGGCCTCCTGCTGCACCTCGGCAGAGGACCTCCTGTTGCACCTCGGCAGAGGCCTCCTGCTGCACCTCGGCAGAGGCCTCCTGCTGCACCTCGGCAGAGGCTTCGTGCTGCACCTCGGCAGAGGCCTCCTGTTGCACCTCGGCAGAGGCTTCGTGCTGCACCTCGGCAGAGGCCTCCTGCTGCACCTCGGTAGAGGTCTCCTGTTGCACCTCGGCAGAGGCCTCGTGCTGCACGTCGGCAGAGGCCTCCTGTTGCACCTCGGCAGAGGCCTCTTGCTGCACCTCGGTAGAGGCCTCCTGTTGCACCTCGGCAGAGGTCTCCTGTTGCACCTCGGCAGAGGCCTCCTGTTGCACCTCGGCAGAGGCCTCCTGCTGCACCTCGGTAGAGGTCTCCTGTTGCACCTCGGCAGAGGCCTCGTGCTGCACGTCGGCAGAGGCCTCCTGCTGCACCTCGGTAGAGGCCTCCTGTTGCACCTCGGCAGGGACCTCCTGTTGCACCTCGGCAGAGGCCTGCTGTTGCACCTGGGCAGGGACCTCCTGTTGCACCTCGGAAGAGGCCTCGTGCTGCACCTCGGCAGAGGCCTCGTGCTGCACCTCGGCAGAGGCCTCGTGCTGCACCTCGGCAGAGGCCTGCTGTTGCACCTGGGCAGGGACCTCCTGTTGCACCTCGGCAGAGGTCTCGTGCTGCACCTCGGCAGAGGCCTCCTGCTGCACCTCGGCAGAGGCCTCCTGTTGCACCTCGGCAGAGGCCTGCTGTTGCACCTGGGCAGGGACCTCCTGTTGCACCTCGGCAGAGGCCTCCTGCTGCACCTCGGCAGAGGCCTCGTGCTGCACCTCGGCAGAGGCTGTTGCACCTCGGCAGGGACCTCCTGTTGCACCTCGGCAGGGACCTCCTGTTGCACCTCGGCAGAGGCCTCCTGTTGCACCTCGGCAGAGGCCTCGTGCTGCACCTCGGTACAGGCCTCGTGCTGCACCTCGGCAGAGGCCTCGTGCTGCACCTCGGCAGAGGCTTCGTGCTGCACCTCGGCAGAGGTCTCCTGTTGCACCTCGGCAGAGGCCTCCTGTTGCACCTCGGCAGAGGCTTCGTGCTGCACCTCGGCAGAGGTCTCGTGCTGCACCTCGGCAGAGGCCTCGTGCTGCACCTCGGCAGAGGCTTCGTGCTGCATCTCGGTAGAGGCCTCCTGTTGCACCTCGGCAAAGGCCTCCTGCTGGACCTCGGCATTAACCCGGGATCTCATGAGCTTATACGCGATGGCTAAGCACATGATCATATAGGTGACGATGGCGAAAACGTTCGCCTCAAAGGATGGCCATAAGGGCTTAACCTCAAGGGGAACCCGCCCATGCTTCAAGAGTTGTTCGCGGATCCCCTGTATGGTTAACAGGTGTTTTGACACTAGCGTTAGCGAGCCTACAAAGGGGATCTTATCCGCTATTTTTAGGTCGTCGTCCACCATCAGGGTGAGGTCAGCTCCTTGAGGGGGCTCAATGACCCCTAGCTCTGCCAGGATCCTCCTGTACCCGGGGACGTCTTGGAGGTCGTGGTCAGTCTCGAGCAGCTGGTGCCGCAAATTGGCGACCTGTCCAGCGATGATCGTGCACCGCACGGTGGCCAGCTGCCACAAAGAGAGCGAGCAGGCAGTCACAAATATAATTATGCTGAGAATATTAATTTTTGACATAATGGTTTACAATTAATAGTAAATATAAATTTATAGTAAATAAATATAAATATAAATATAGTAAATATAAATTTATATATTAAACTAAGATTGTGAAGAAGAGAAAGTATGACACGTACATATTATCATTCTTTTAATTTTCCTGTGTATATATTTCCTGTACAGTATTAGTTATTATTATTAGCGTTGTTGTGACCCAGCCAAGGTGTTGATGGTAGTGTGACCCAGCCAAGGTGTTGATGGTAGTGTGTGACCCAGCCAAGGTGTTGATGGTAGTGTGTGACCCAGCCAAGGTGTTGATGGTAGTGTGTGACCCAGCCAAGGTGTTGATGGTAGTGTGTGACCCAGCCAAGGTGTTGATGGTAGTGTGTGACCCAGCCAAGGTGTTGATGGTAGTGTGTGACCCAGCCAAGGTGTTGATGGTAGTGTGTGACCCAGCCAAGGTGTTGATGGTAGTGTGTGACCCAGCCAAGGTGTTGATGGTAGTGTGTGACCCAGCCAAGGTGTTGATGGTAGTGTGTGACCCAGCCAAGGTGTTGATGGTAGTGTGTGACCCAGCCAAGGTGTTGATGGTAGTGTGTGACCCAGCCAAGGTGTTGATGGTAGTGTGTGACCCAGCCAAGGTGTTGATGGTAGTGTGTGACCCAGCCAAGGTGTTGATGGTAGTGTGTGACCCAGCCAAGGTGTTGATGGTAGTGTGTGACCCAGCCAAGGTGTTGATGGTAGTTTTTTTTGCACAGGTCAGCGACCCACATCGGGGCCGGGGAGGCATATATTGAACCATAAATAAATATATAAATGGAAAAAATATGTTACAACCCTCCAGCTCCTTTGATCAATTAATCAGGAGGACCCTGAAATATCAGCCCTGGTTAACAGTGAAATAAGTAGATTCTGATTACGTACCATAGACCGACCATCACCTAAAAACTGTTCTCTGCACTTTTCCTGTATCTGGCTGGCAGCAAAGATCATGTCACTGGTGCGACGTAATGGTCTAATCTAAAGGCACAGTGTGATTCTGGGAGGAAGTTATCCGCCTCAGGAAGAAGTCTTGTTTAGGAGGACTCGGGGTGATAATCTTGCCAGCTACGGACAGCAGCGAAATCCCACTGTAGTTGCCACAGTCTGGCCGGTCTCCCTTGTTCTTATAAATAGTGACGGATGTTGTTATATGTAGTGATGATGGGTGGTGTTATATGTAGTAGTGATGATGGATGGTGTTATATGTAGTGATGATGGGTGGTGTTATATGTAGTAGTGATGATGGATGGTGTTATATGTAGTGATGATGGGTGGTGTTATATGTAGTAGTGATGATGGATGGTGCTATATGTAGTGATGATGGATGGTGTTATATGTAGTGATGATGGATGATGTTATATGTAGTGATGATGGGTGGTGTTATATATAGTGATGATGGATGGTGTTATATGTAGTGATGATGAGTGGTGTTATATATAGTGATGATGGATGGTGTTATATGTAGTGATGATGAGTGGTGTTATATGTAGTGATGATGGATGTTGTTATATGTAATGATGATGGATGATGTTATATGTAGTGATGATGGATGTTGTTATGTGTTATATGGGTGGTCCCCTACAATCCTCTTTTGAGTAAAGCATTCAATGCGCACATCAATGTGGAGTTCTGTAATTCAGTCAAGTCCATCAAGTATGTTTGCAGATACGTCAACAAAGGCTCTGACCAAGCGATCTTTGCATTGGAAAAGGATGGAAATCATGATGAGGTGACACAGTTTCAGCAGGGCCGTTATATATGCAGCAATGAAGCCCTATGGAGAATTTTTAGTTTTCCCATACACGAACGACGTCCAACAGTAGTTCATCTGGCGGTTCACCTGGAAAATGGACAAAGAGTATACTTCACAGAAGAGTCTCTACAAAATCAAATGGCAAATCCTGCTGATACGAATCTCACTGCATTCTTCAAGCTTTCACAGGAAGATGAGTTTGCTCAAATACTTCTGTATGTTGACGTACCCAAGTTCTACATATGGCAGGCTTCAATGAAAAAGTTCCAGAGAAGAGCTCAAGGATCCGATGTTGAAGGATATCCAGGGATAAAGTCAGGCAATGCTTTGGGACGTGTCTACACGGTTCACCCCAACAACTTTGAATGCTATTGTTTGAGACTACTTTTGCACCACATCCGTGGCCCAACATCATATGCAGCACTCAAGACAGTGAATGGACAAGTCTGCAGAACCTATCAGGAAGCGTGCAATGTCCTTGGCCTACTGGAAGATGATGGTCACTGGAATGACACATTAGAAGAGGCAGCAGCTACTCAATGAGAATGAGGAACCTGTTTGCCATCATGACTGCTACATGTGGACTTTCCAACCCAAGCCAGCTCTGGGAAAACCAAGAAAGTCTTTCAGAGGATCACACAGCTGGTGGCCAAAAAGCCTTCTCCATAACCCTCAAGAGCCAGAACTATTGTACACTAAACAGTGATCAAAAGATGAGAGTATTCTACTAGTTACACAAGGACCTAGCAGACCTCTCCAACTTACACAATTATACACCACAGCATAAAAAAACTTCCTGACGCCAATAAGATAAAAGATGAGAGTTTTCTACTAGTTACACAAGGACCTAGTAGACCTCTCCAACTAACACAATAACAAACAACCCCTTGCTAGCTAGCTTAGCCTCCCCCCCCCCTGTTCCCTCGAGCTCAGGCGACCTCTTAGTGCAGCCTTCACCACAGCCAATCAAATCGTCTCTGCTAGGTGGATACCCCACCTCCTCTTATTCTCTACTACTTTACTTCCGTTTCATAACTTTCCTTCTACCTTACCTCTTCTCTCCCTTCCCATGGCAAGCCATTGCCATTTTATCTCCATTATCATCATCAGGGAGACCTTTCTACTCTGACCTGCAGGACCAGCAAGATCTATCTCCAGCACCTCACTACCCAGCTTCCTCAGAGAGCTCCTCGCCCTACAGGAACTCTGAGCAAGCTACACCTCACCTAGTAACTCCTTAGCACTACTCTGTACAACAATATATATATATACAGAAAACGCATTGTGAGTTTCTATTCTACCTCATTCCTGAGTGTGAGATATCTACATGTACGTACGTTGTGTGGCCATACAAAGAGACAATAGACATCTAAAGATAATTGACTACTGGCCACAATACAGTACGCTGCAGTCCTACCGTGGCTTAGCGGAGGGCAGCGATTCCGCTGGTACAATATATTCAGCGCTGTCGTACACTGCCCCTTCGCCATGTCGCCTTCGGGTGTTCCCAAGATATGACCCCCCTGTAGTAGGTGCTCAGTGCTGTTCTCTGTTAAGTGTATGTTTGTTCTCCTGGCTGGTGACATCTCGGCGGTGTTATCAATTCTGAAACTAATGCTTTGACAAAAAAAAAAATCTACCTTTTCGCTAAAATTTTATTCATGGCGTGACAGTGAGCGGTGTACACTAACTGAATTTTGTACTTACTTGTATTAATAAGATTAGCTGATACTAGGTGGGTAATATTAAGTTCTTCTTGATGTTCCATAAATGTCGATGAATAAAGCATATTAATCCACCTGAGTTGTTTGGCTGTATCCATGATCCACCTCACACTGCTGTACCAGACGAGTCCAGATAACACTCGGAGATGCAACTTTAGGCCTGTACTATATACCCGGTACATGACAACCTATTTTATGTAATTTGGCTTCGGTAATAAAGTAACTTCAGCAGGTGTCGTGGCTGTACAGGTAACGACGTGTTTGCTGAAGTGATCATTATGGTGGTGTGTGTAGCGCCCATAGTGGCTGTTCTTATCTAATTTCCTGTCATCTTGTAACAAACTTTGTCTCTTTTGCTCCTCGTGAGCTTGGTGGGCCATCAATGCGACGATAGACTGCTAGAGAGCGTACGTGAAAGTAGCAGCAGTACACAGGTAACAGCAGAACACAGGCCAGAAACACTTCTCGTACCAACACAGGGTCACGACGCAGGCATACACCGTCGCCTATGGTGGTTGTGTAAGTGCAGTGCTTTCTAAGTTTGTGGTGTTCCGTCATCATGTTCGCTCTGGGCACTAATGATCAGCGTGTGGTTGTGAGTGTCAGGCGTGCAGAGTCATAGGGTAGGTGTTGGTACTGGAGTGAGGTGGGGTTCTAACTTGTGGTCGTATAGTATATATACTTTATTTCCCCATTTGTTTTGATTCAGGCCGTCCAATCACAGCTCTCTCAGATTATGACATGTCTAGCATAGTTATCAGGTTTTGATTTATATATATATATATATATATATATATATATATATATATATATATATATATATATATATAGATAAGTAAATAGAATATACTGAAAAAATCAAGTAATACCACATCATAACACTGAAATACTATAGATGTAGAAGATAAAGCATTAAAAACAACACTATACTTCGACTGCATGTTACGGTCCAAATATACAGTGATGTCGATTTTCGGTGTTTTATCTTCTACAGGCTACAGTGGAAATTTAGTGATATATACTGTACTAACCTCTACACTCGCCTCTATGGTTACACAGTTGAGGTCGTGGTGCTGGGAGGGAGGGTGTGTGTACAGTAGGAACCCTGGTGGTGGCCTCTAAAACATGTCTGGAAAATAGTAGAAGATATGACAAACAAGAAGAGTTGTTTGATTTAACTGATATTACTCCATACTTTTTCTTTTTATCTTTATTTACAGCCAACGATACCTGATTGTATTTTTACCACTCAGCCACTCCCAACAACTCGGTAAAACGCATTGATTGTATTGCTACATAAATTTTTACCTTTATCAAAACAGTAAAGAAATTAGATTACTTTCCTCTGGTGAATTTGTTAGATATAAACTAAGTTATTCCATATTTATGTGAATATGTTGCATTATGTTTTGTGTTAGTTGTGGAATAAAGCGCCACTTTGAATGCGCATGTTATACTGGAAAGAGCAACATCGTTTGTGTCATTGTCTGAGCCTCTCGCATCATATTTCGTTGATATCCACCAAAAATGAACACTGTAACTTTAACAGAATTGATGTGATCATTTATGTTTGAAAGATGAGCAAAATAATAATTAGTGTTTAGTGTGGGGAACTGTCAAGTCACACAGCGTCGTAGCAGTCATTCTGTTTACTGTTTATCTTATTTCATAACCTGTGCTTAGACAAGTTATCACTGTGTACTCAACTGTACCAGCGACGGAAATATTTATGTTCATGGACAATTTTTTATATGGACAAAAAGTAGCGTAAATAAACAGATTCTTTAGCAGTGACGCCAAATATGCCACATCAGATTGCAAATTGCCAATGTCCGGATGACCAACCCGAGAAAAAAATTGCCGTCGCGATTTCACGTACAGTGAAGAAGAGGAACATCAAGCTATCATCATCACTCGTCCCGTTGTTCAAATTACGTTGGCGGTTATCTCTCGGAAGCGGCCGTTGGCATCTCTGCCATCATTCTCAAATGTGTAATACAGAAGAATAATGGGAGAAGCCTCCATAATGCTGGAGGTCCTCAGCCACCATGCACCACCGTGGCCAACACACCCACTCGTTAGATTACAAACGCTCTCAAGTCCCAACTTCTCAGCTTCTGATGATCAATATTTCCCTACAATTTCCCCGGACTTGTTAGCCACAACACACTCCAAAAGTTAACGTTATCTAGTCAGCATATAAACGAAAGCCATACATCACTAAGGGCTGCAACGTGACAACGTCGCGGTAAAGTGAAACAGGTCGACGAAAAATATATACCACAAGTGTCCTGAGGGATAAAACAGCCAACGTGTTACCTCATACCTAAAAACATAGGGGTTAAGACGCTCAAAACACTGGACTCCACGCTGTAACAGATGTTTGATATGCAGCTGAATGATTCGAGGAAGTAGAGGAAGTAAATAAACGATTTCTGGTGACGTTTAGATTAGGCTGGAAGCTGATAGCGTAGCGTAGGTTAGGTTAGACAAGTACAGTACATCAGTGTATATACTACCAAGCTAAATTGTTTAATAAAGTGTACACAAATGAGACTGGTAAAAAAATTCTTAATCTGTTTGGAGAATTCCCCACAAGCGTCATGTAGTCAAGGTCAGAAAATATGCTTTATAATATCTAATTTGGTACAGTTTACCACTATGCATATTATTGTACTTATAGCATGGGTATAATAGCTAGATTTTTTTACATATTAGTTTACATTATCACACTTGGTGCAAAGTAAACAATGAACTACGCGTGGTGTTGGCGAGAACTACGGTCATCCAGTACGAACTACGAAGAAGAAACTAGTCTAAGGTGTGTATTTGTCTAGTGCTAGTCGCTTTATAGAATGTTCTCACTGATAATTGGGAATCAGATATAACAGCACCTTACTACAATCACAAAAGCTGGTGTAACGCTCTTCACAATCCCCGTTCTGGAGCCTGAAGTGGTTGCGGTGGTGACCAAAACTGTCCTCACCAACAGTTCTCTCCTAAGTTAAATTTGTAATTACCAAATGTGTGAATATAAGCTCCGGTAATGCTAAAGAAAACGGTGAAACAGGTCGAAGAGAATTGTTAAAATGAACTTACTTTATAAAGAGGTAAATGAAAACGTTGCTATTTAAATCATGTTCGACTATTATGTTGCCTTCGTCTGTCTCGGCTTTAGAATCCACAATGGTCATGCGACTTTGCTACAGTATTCTATCGCCACACAATTCAAGTGAAACTGAATCGCATTACTCGCACATCCTGGCTCTGCGGGGACCTGGAGGGAGTGTTGGTGGTGCTTCTCATGTTATCTTTAGGTACACTTTCTATGTATCTATCAAGAAGTAAATTAACTACGGTATTTCAAAGATAATAACAGAAGGAAAAATAATTAACAAAGTCATATATTGAATAAACACTATCGAATAACCAACAACTTGAATTCAAGTTTGAAACTTTAAATTCGTGTACGTATATGAAAAATTACTCCTAAAATGTAAGTGCGTGTGAAGTATGTGTGTTGGTAGATCTGTAATTCTTCAACAAGTAATGTAACTCCCGCCCAAGAGCAGGTGATCCCTGCAGCCTATTACTGTAGTGTAAACGTCTTCACATCCCGTACAAATTCACAACTTACTTTCCTTTCATTTATCTTTCTTCCTTATTATATTTTACAAGACTTACATCATAAAACAGTTACATTTTTTAAGTACATATGAAAGTGAGCATGTAAGGCCAGTGCGTGAGTTAAGAGACAATAAGGTGACTTTCACAGCGAACAACAGATGGCGTTAGCAGTCTTTGCATGTGGTCAGCCAGTGTCACTTTTGTCACCACTAAAAAATTGCTGGAAGTCACATAGTTACGTCGCCAGCAAACATACACAATACTCTAGTTACCCGGAGTCTAGTGCAAAAGACTAATATGGATAAAATTTAATGATGTCACAGCGTAAGGAGTGACCACCTACCTAAAGAAATACAGTATGGGATAGCAGTGGCTCCATTGCAGCCAGGTCGGATAATCTCCAGTTTCTGTTTATGAAATACAACTTAATCCTCTGCTCACCTCTCAATCACCGCTTCGTGTACCCAAGACCTCTCACCATCTGGTTTAGGTGTCTCACATAACCGAAAAGAAAGTTGGTCACTGAAGATGTATTTATTGATTCTTGGTTCAGTTTTGATTTTTTTTTAAGTTTTATTAATATTGTTCATGTCAACAGTTATTAATATTTTTTCCCTAAAGATACATTAATAATAGGTAATTATTAATGTATGTTTAGGACAACAATATTCAGAATTATTGTTTAATAGTGCTGCTCGTATCATCAGTTAGACACGATTGGTGTTTAATGTCATCACTGCGGCCCACACAAGATGAGTTTCTCGAATGGAATAAGGCTATCAACTCAACGAGACATACTGCCATTTTTCTGATTTCTCTTCACACACCCACAACACAAAGAGTACACTAAAGATCCAATTCTGTGTCACGTCTTTGAAATTGCAGAGTTGGAGTAAATTTGAGGTTAAATTGGCATAATCATGGAGGCAACATCATCGTAACTTTCCTTAAGATTCGCCCTCATGGAACAGCCTCACGCTATGGATCCGCTAGGCTAGATCTTTGGAAATTCCTCACAGTCATCAACTAACCGCGCTCTAACACAACAATAGTCAGGAATACTAGAATCAGTCCACAACAACAGCCGCCAGATCATCATCACAGTAATGGTGCGCTACAATGACTTCTTGATGTACACCAGAGGAGCTTTATCTACAGACAACTGGCAGCTGATGTCTGGTTGCCTCGTCATCGTCATAGGTACAGTTGAGGAGGAAGGTAGCTTGGTGAAGAAGGGGGGTTAGATAGCTTGGCTACTGCTATTTTTTTTTTTTTTGGAACGTGGCCTCCATCCTCCCCTAATGCCCACACCTTCGCCGCCATTTTATTACCTTAAAATACAACAACCACACCCTAAGTTAACGAACTGCATGACCCAGTGTCAAGGAATAGTCCGAGAAGACAACTCGCCAACTGCACTGGCTAACCATTACCCCAGGAACACGATCCGCAAATCGATTAACATACAGGTTCCCAATTACTGCTGGGTAGACAGAGGAAAATGGCGTAAAGAATTTTGCCCAGTTTCACCCTACCCGGGAATCGAACCTGGGTCCGTTCGCTTGCGAGACGAGCTTGTGGAACATTACTTTTTTACTTCTATCCTCTTCACCACTGATCGGCTCGTTAGCCACTTGGGCGATCGGTCACGTCTCTGTTGGCAAGTACTGGGCATGCACCGGCTTCTGAATGTACCTGAACCTGCTCCAGTGTTGGTTAAGTCTGGTCTTGAAAGAACTCACACTCGGTGCCGTCACAACACTTTCTGGTAGATTGTTCCAAGAGTTCACAACTGTCATTAGACCACAGGTCGCCACCAATAACATGGTGTTATCGCACAATATAATATCAGGCGCAATGGGCTAAACGTGTTTTGGTTTCGTTGTTTTATTTTCCGGCCGCTTGGCAAAGTCACTGTCGCGGAAGGGTAGAAAATTAATATTGAGTGAGCTATCCTCTTCTAGTCTTATAATCCTTGGTATTAAAGTTTAGATTCACAACATACAGGTACTTAAATTTACGAAATACAAGTAGTATTTTTGTTTCTGAACCAGATGAAAAGTTGAAATTTGTTGACCAGTGTAAAAGGCTTGACCCAAACTAGAATAATGTTCATACGGTTGCACAAATACCTAGCAAATAGAATAATAAATGGTCAACAATGAAGAGGATGAAAACATTTATCAGAGGAAATTATCATCAGTGTGCGCCACTAAGAGACGCCAAGGAACTAAGCAAGCTGGGTTGGAGCGTCTTAGGAAAACTAGATGAAACTCAGCAGTAACACGGCCCTTGATAAAAAAGAAGGTATCGACAGCGGCATCCTTGCTAAATATTATTACGGACAACAAAAGACGTTACACACTAGACCTGGGAAGATGTTTGCTAGACACGGCATTAAAAATAGGAAAAAACGAATGGAGGAGATCTCTAACCCCAGTGTGAAATGTTATTACCAGGTGAAAGAAGTTAAGTGACAGTAAGCAGGTTATAAGGCAACACACATGCATACACACACACCCAATGTATATAAACAGTAAAACTTGTTGAGATTAGAAGGTGAGGTAGAGAGGAAGGAAAATGACACAAGGGGTGAGAGTGTGGGGGAGTGCTGGAAGCCATCATTACACCTTTCACTAAATGCCTCACCCTACACTACCCCAGACAGGAGGGTGGGTGGGGCACTGCGGTAGAGAGGGAAAAACTATCTACGTATCATACCTATCTGTCTATCTACGTGTGTATTTATGTATCTATCTATTTATCTATATACACAAATAAATGTGATCATGAACTTAGTAAAGCCACCCAGATGTTCTTGCGTGATGGATGAACGTGTGGATGTGGGGTGTAGTGCGGGTGTCGGTGGTGAAGGATGGCCTCTGGGTGTGAGGTAACGTCCGTGACGATGGTTGACTGAAGTGCAAATCAACACCCACCTACTGTACTGTTCTCTTAGTCTTTATGCTTATTTTAGTCTTTTATCATCTTACTATTTCTTCAGGCTTAAATGTCTCTCGTCTTTACTAATTATTTTGTTTTGCTAATTTTCTTTTATATGTATTTTGTATCATTTGTCAATTCATCCTGTAAATTTTTGTACCGCTGTGAATCTTTGTTTTGTAATACAAGTATAAGAACCAAGTGAGAAGATCCAGGGAGCACAGTACATGCAACACATCCAAAATATACTCGACGTACCAACTCGGTCGTCGCCTGTCAAGAAGAACGATTTTCCATGTTACTTTACACAGTTCAGTGGGAAATATTCGTAACCGAGTAATTCAGATTTCCGACATACCCGAATGTCTATAAAGCAATTAATTTTTCTCTTTAATATTTCTTGTCCGTTCTCAAAGCCAAAACTGACCTTCGGGATACATACAGTATGACGCCAT